GCTAAGGTCAGGGTTTGCTGCCAAGCGAGCTTACTTCAATTCTGTCTTAAAAAAAAAAATCTTCTAAGGATTTTTTTTTTCCCCTTAACATTCAAGGGTTTTATGAATTTTAAAGCTGCAGATGAGGACAGAGGAGTTATTCTGCCCAGCAGCGCGGCTGAAGCCGTGGGCGCCGTGCAACCCGTCATCAGCGCGCTCTTTAGGGAGTCCCACATTTGGGGCCCATAGCTTGGCAAGCAGAACTCAGAAGGGGGCCCTGCTTTTCAGGGTGAATGTCCAGCGTTCCCTGAGCTGGACTTTGTGCAGGGCACAGGCTGTGCAACCAGAGCCTCCAAATCCTGCACATCTCCAGGCTTCTGGAATGATAATCAATGGTGTAGGATGTCCTCCCTCAGGACAACAAGCTTTACTGGCGGCCCACGCTCTCAATTTGCAAATGTGGGCCACGTACCAGTCGCCAGGTGGAGCCTCTTAAAACACGGGGCGGAGCTTCTGAAAACACGGGGCGGAGCTTCTGAAAACACAGGGCGGAGCTTCTGAAAACACAGGGCGCTGGGTAGTGCCAGAAACAGTGAATATTAGCCAGTAGCCTCCAAGGCTCACGGACCACACTTTGAGCTGTGAGTTCGAGTCCCCCGCCTTTATGTCCCTGAATGTCTGTCTTCATTCTTCTTGTCCTTCCCTCATCTGCTTCTGCCTGGGATTCCCATCAACAGCTACTGTCCTCCCACGTGGCATCCCTCCCCCGACCAGTTCCCAAGTGTAATGAAAAAATTAAAAATGCTGCAGGATCCCGGTGACAGTAGGCAGCAGGAATGCTGTAGGTCCCCAAGCAGTGGTAGCGGGCCATGTGGAAGCAGGCAGCCAGGCCCTGGGGTCAGCCAATTGCAGGCAGAGACAGCTGCCCACCCCCGAGCGGTGGCTGGTCCCAGGCAGGGTGGCACGTGGCGGGCGGGCAAGAGACAGAGATGTTCGCCTACACGAAGGCCCCTTGAGGTGTTGGGCATGGGGCAGAGTAGCTCTGTAGGAACCACCAGGTAACACACCCAGAGCCCATCCTGGCTTTAGGCTCCTTGTTCTCTGTCCTGCCATCTGCTTTGTGCCAAGCCGTGACTGTTTCTGACCTGGCCGTGACTAGGCCAGGCTCATTCATAACAGTGTGGAAGACTGGAAAGCCCTTGTTATGTTTCTACACCGAGCTGCATTGTCATCTTAATAACACAGAAGAGGAGCTGAGTGTGTGGCTGAGCTGGGAGAGGGCTTGCCTAGCGGGTATCTAACCCCTGGCTGGGAGAGCACTTGCCTAGCACGTATCTAATTCCTGGCTTCTATTTTAAAACTGGACACAAGGCTGCGTGCCTGTGGTTCCAGGAATTGGTGAGGTAGAAAGATCAGACGTTCAAGGTCATCCTTCGTTACACAGCAAGGTTGAGGCCAGCCTGGGCTCTAGGAGCAAACAAACAAAAATTGAAGAAGAGGAAGCTCGTTAATGCAGAGGCTATTTTTCATTCCCATGATTTGAATGATGGGGCCTCTTCTCTCCCTGGCAAACCATTCAAGAAATCAGAACATATTTTGATTTCTGACTTGAATTTAGCTGTAAACTAACTCTTACTTTCTTTTTTTTTTTAAAAAAAAAACCTTTTGTTTTTATTTAAGTATGTGTCTATTATAAAATGTTCTTATCAAAAAAAAATTGGGAAGTCATACTCCAGAAAAACCCACCTCTTTTCAAGATGGGATCGTCCCTTTCCCTAGTGACCTGGACCTGTGGTGGTGGTGATGGTGGTCTGGGGGCATTGAGGGGTTGTGCCCACATAAGCTTTATTCTCTGCACTTCCTGCAGTGTCCGACAGAGGGCGCCCACGACACTAGCAGAATTTCCTACTGATTGGCAGACTGCACCCCCTCTCTGAGGGAAGCAGGCATGAGCCAAAATGGGGCTTTTCTTTCCTTAAGTTGCTTCTGTCCCACCAACAAGAAAAGTAAACTAAGACACCATCCATGAAGCTGTAGCGGGTGATGTGGTCAAAGACACAGTGGAGTCTGCAGTGGAGTCTGCAGTGGAGTCTGTGGTTTCCTAGCTGTAGGAACGGGCAGTTGAGGGGGCTGGAGTGATGGCTCACTGGTTAAGAGCAATGGCTCTTCCGAAAGACCCAGGTTCAATTCCCAGCAACCACATGGCCGTTCACAACTGTCTGTAACTCTAGTTCCAGGAGATCTGTCATTCTCTTGCATGTAAAACCACAATGTACAGTAGAAATAATAAATCATAAAGAAAGGAAGGAAGGAAGGGTGTAGGGTGTGAGGACACATTAGCCTAGGTTTGCACACTGGCTCTGCCACCACCCACAAGGGTCTTCACTGCCTTGTTTTTGACACGGTGGCAGGACCACACTAGGCAGCGGGCTTTCCAGTGAGTACAGACACTTCTATAGAAGAGTGAACAATGTCGAGCCTCGTCCATCCGGTTAAGAGGACCTGGTCATTGGGCAAGAGGGGGGTTTATTACGGCTGAGTCATGTTCACACTCACACATGAGCTGGGTGACCACAGGCTGAAGGGTACAGCCCACCCCACTCCACGCCAGTCTCAGCAACGAGCCACAAACAGATCATACACAGAACACAGATTTTTTTTTCTTCAATTTAATTGAAGTTACTTAGAAAAATAATCAGGCTTGAATGGCTTTTCCTGGAGGAAGGTTCGGGAACATTTCACGCGTCTGTTGGCAACATGGAATTCAGCTTCTTTAACAGTATAGTAAGATACAGGGAGAGAATTCTACAACAGGCCCTCAACTGCATACAAATATGTAAAAAAAAACCACACACATACACACACACTCCACAAAGATGTTAAATTCTATGTCCATATGCCTTACTGAGAATGCTCAGAAGAGAATACGGATACCGCCTTTTGTACCTGATGAGAGCAGACCAAAATTTGCCTGCTGCTGGCCAAGGGCCCAGTTGGTTCTAGAAGGTTCTGTTGCCTATTCAGAGGGTCTGTTTAGCTGTGGTGGGGAAAAGACGGGGGATGCTGGTGGGCAGAACCTGGGGGAGTGGCGGGGTCAGTCCTGCTGACGAAGAGGTGGACCACGATGGGATTGGGGTGCTAGGAGAGCACAGGCTGGGGCGGTGTGTGTGTGTGTGTGTGTGTGTGTGTGCATAGACTGTGCATGTGTGTGTGTGTGTGCACATCCACGTGTGTACGTGTGTGTGCAGAGGAGGTCTGGGCAAAGGAAGCGCGTAGGAAAGCGAGCACAGTCCCTGTGGCTTTGTCAGTTGAAGCAGAATAGTAACGCAATGGTTATCTGAGCTAAGTGTCTTCAGGCCTTGCACAATGTCCCAGAGCTCTCTCGGAGCCTGGCCTAGTCTTGTGTGCTCGGGAGGGCCGGCCAAAGTGAAGCTTCTGGGTCCCACAGTTCTCCTTCAGGCTGAACCAGCAGGAGAGAAAGGCTTGCCCTTGGGACCAGGCGGTCTGTCCTGAGACCCGGACAACGGGCTGTCCCGCTTCCCAGACCAGCTGAGAAGGGCATGGGGTGGGGCAGGGGAGGTTGCAGGCAGAGACCCCTGTGGCTGATATTCTAGACATTTCCAATAAAGGGGTAGGCTAAGCAGGAATGTCTTTGTCATTCTACTCGACTGTACCTGGTCCTAAAAACACAGCTGTGCCTTTGAACAGGACTCCGGCTCAGAGCTGGGACGCTGGCAGCTCCTTTTCCGAGCTAAGCACGAGAGGCAAGAGAAAGTCTTTGCAACGTTTTCCTGTAGAAAACACTTGGGTTTCTAAGCACACTTCACCGACGGATGTCTTCGGCTAGGGACACAGAATACTTCCTACATTCTACAAAACCGTTGAACCAATACATGTTTTTAAAAATGCCACCAGAAAATAAAACGCGCACACAAAACAGGAGAGGCCCTCATCCCAGAAGCACAGACACATGGTCCCCCTGAAGGATGATCTTTCTCACTTCAGAGAGAGAAAACGGAGTAACGCCATCTGCACACGGCACTGTACCACAGATGAAAGACAAACAGAAATGCAAAACACGAAAACCAACACGAATTTCCATTTAAAACCCCCCGGAGCACGCGGTTCCAAACTGTGGGTGGAAGTGAGAAGTGTCTGTCATGAGGCCATCGTCCCCACTGAGTGGCCTTTAAGGCCAGGAAGCAGGGGCTGTTTCTGTGTCCTTATGGCACCTCCACCCCTCCACCACAGCCAAGACTTCCCTCCCTGTGTTTGGAGGGACAGGACAACTGTCTGGGGGCAGCATCCAGATGGAGCCATCCCACTTGGGTAGAGCCTAATTCACTTTATCCTCTGTCCCAGACAGACGCTGTGCGGCTGTTTCTGCTTGTTTGTCTGCGGAGGGACCTAGGAGGCAGTTGTCAATCCTTGCAGACCTCAGACAGGCTAGCCCACCCTCACCAAAGGCTACTGTGTGAAATGCCAGCTAAGACACTTCTGCCGTACGGGACACCGGGCCCTGCAGCTCAGAAATGCTGCATTCTCCCCGATTCGCGAGGCAGACCACGTATGTATGAAAGGCCCTGAAAAGTCCTGCAGAGAGGAACCTGACTTAATTTTGTTTCCTAAGGATACGAGACCACAAACCCCTCCAAACTGATACCCGGCAGAGCCTGGGCCCTGTGGAGCACTCCTTAGCGACATCACACAGAATGCCCCATCAGCAGGAGGTCAGTTTTGGAGGACAGGGATGGCCAGAGTCTGTCACCGCTCTTGGTCAAACACATGACATAAATCTATCTATCAAAGGCGAGGGGAGAGAGACTGGGGAAGGTACCTGCGTTTTATAAATAGCTGCTGTCAGCTGCTCTGGCTCGTATTCCCCTCACATTAAATAATTTCCTCCGTGAGACAGAGAGAGCCGCAGCGACGGCTGCTCCCAGGCTCGCTGTGAACCTAACAATACCATCTTAATAGTTTCTGTGAATAAATTATTCATTATTTTGTTTTTCAGAATAGTCTCACCCCTTCACTCTACACAGCATCAAAAACAAAAACAAACAAACGAAACCAACTAAAACACAAAAAGCAAAATTTATACCCCACTCCCTCCCCAATCGTGAGAAATATTATATACAGCATCTGCTACCTACCCGGACACTGGCTGTAACAGGATTGCAGCTCCTGAGTCAACTGAGCAGCCTCAGAAATGACTAGAAATGAGGACTAGGTCTGGGCATTGATCAGCAAGGAATAGGAAACATTAGTTTCCAGCGTTCTGGAGGAGAGGGAGCATAGGTTAAGATCCTGGGCAGCTGTCCTGGATGCTCTGTCAAAGCAGGTACATGGAAGGGTGTGCATATGCCTGTGGGTACCAACAGTCCACCTCGGACCATCATGCCTGATTTCGCCAGTCTCCAAACATGTGCAGTGCATGCTTCTAAGTGGCAGGCAGAAGATGTAGACAGGCCTTCACTGTAGGAGGCACTTCCCCCTCCCTTACCCGAAACAGACATCACTAATCGATCTCAACACACCTCCATTCACGTCTGGAGAAGACTGAGGCTTACAGGCTTCTGCTACCCAGATACTGCAGCTAGACACACATGATCAAATGTTTCTGCCATTTCTTGTGTTGGGCGATGAACTTAGGTCACTCAGTGAAGTGGACCGACCCAAATGTGTGGTTTTCAAATTTGTGAGCTGTAGAAAAATGCAAATTTGTTGGGGTCACAGACTCTCTGAGCCACTTGAGAAGAGTCCAAATCTCACGTGAAGACCGTGAGGGTAGGGGCTGGTTCACTGTTGAGCAGTTTGCCCTGTGTTCACATAAAGCTTGCTGAGAGCCAAGGTTACTGGGCTCATTCAATGTTCTGCCTGCAGGCAAGCCTGGACAATAGTAGATGCTCAATAAATATTTATCAATATAAAGTAATAGTTACTTTTCACCAGAACTGGAAAGTGCCAGTTTAAAATTTCCACAAGAAGCCTATTCTTACAGATTGGTAATTTTGGTGAACGGAAACTGCCGCCATCCACTCTCTACTTGGGTTAAAACCTTTCTATTTCTTTACTGCCAGGGACTCTGGGGTTCCCGCAATCCATGTGAACCGCTCCCGCCCCACTTCTTAGTGCAAGGACAATTTACGTATTTCCAGCAGGGTTTCTTGAATGGTGGCATCCACACATCCCAGCTGCTGTCACCACGGGATTCCAGGAGAGGACAGCGGGGAGACAACCACACCCCCTAAACGAGCCACAGCCAGCAAAGCACAGACCACATTCTCTTCCAGAAAGACACGAGCAGTCTGCTGCCACAGAAAGAAACCTATACAGAGATCACGTTTAAATTACTATAAATAAGAATCATTAGACTTCACGGAACACACAGTTTGCGGAATCCACCAGGACACCAAGACACCTTGGAGACAGTGTTGTGGTTTCCACTTCTAAAGAACAGGGACGATCCACCCCGCTCCCCTGCGCAGACAGCTGTCCTTTCCCGTGGAGGATTTAAATAATTCTTGCCATGCCGCTCGCAGCATTCCCCCCGAGACATATTAACTTACAAAATAACCCAGTATCCATAGAATTCTTTTGACAAATAAAAATCTTAAATTAAAAAGCAGGATTCTCTCCCTCTCTCCCCCAACCGCCCCCCCACCCCTTTATTCCAATTTCAGGTAGTTTGGCACTGAGTAATTGAACATTAAAAAGTCCAGTTTGTAGACTTCGTAGAGCTGCGTCTGGTGCTCGGCGCTGATGTTCTGGAAGAACTCCGTGGTCATCTCGTCGGTAGTTCTGGTGGACTTTGCATAGGTGGGGAACTTCAGGTAGCCGCTCACTCCGGCCAGCTGCAGCACGTAGTTGGAATCCTCCTCCAGCGTCTCGTACTTGCCCACGAGGTCATAGTGGATGTGGCAAGGGTGGCAGAGGGAGTAGACCGTCTGCCAGTGCTCGTTGAAGGGCTCCTCGCGCTGTGTGTGGGGGTCGATGAGGTAGGCCACGAACTCCTCAAACTTGACGTCGTCCCCCTTACGCAGCGCCTCCTGCGTGGCGTTCTTCCGCTGGCGGCGGATGATCTTGGTGCCGTACCGCTTGTGGAAGGAGGTGTTGTACTTCTGGGTGAACTTGTTGCGGTAGGCAGACACGAGCCTCTCGAAGGGCTCCCGCACGAACAGGAACTTCATGTAGCTTTTCAAGCGGTGGTTGATCTCTGGGATGCTGTACTGGTTGAGGGTCTTCAGGTTGGCCGAGACGTGGGCCTCGTTGGCTGGGATCTCCATGGGATCGCTGTACTTGCCCCGGCCGCTCAGGACCATCATGAGTCTCTTCCAGTTGGTGCACGCCACCTTGGGCACGTAGCAGTAGATGAGCTCGTGGTCCTCGTCCACCACCAGGTGCTTCAGGTCATTAGGGGTCAGCACCCTACGCTTTCGGCTCATGGCGCTGTTGGCCCGGCAGGTGTCTGTCACTTGGTCCCGTCTCATCTGGTGCAGGATGGCAGTATTGGACAGCTCCAGCTGCAGAGGGGATAGAAGAGGGAGGAGAAATGAGTGCTCATCTAGAACATTCCTACGTGGTTGCAATGGTTGCTGATCCATTTATTCAAACAGTTATCTAGACCATGTGAGGTGCCCAGCTTTCCGAGGCAGGGTGAGGTGAGACTCAGCCCAACTGCTTAGCGTGGGAGGCTCCACAGAGGCCAGAGGGGAAGGCCTGGGAAGATGTCTGTGTTCTCTGAGAGCAAAAGGCCCTCCCCAGGGCTAGTTAGTTAGTTAGTTAGTTAGTTTTAACTGTCAACTTGATACACCCTAGGATCATTTGGTAAGAGAGTATAAATGAGGAATTATCTAGACTAGAATGGCCAGGGTCACGACTGTGGGGGACTGTCTCCACTGTTAGCTGATGTAGGAAAACCCAGCCCACTGTGGGCGTCATTGTTCCATCTGGGCTCTGTTCTACAGAGGGGTGAAAAACACTAGCAAGTGTGCAAGGATGCATTTATTTCCCTCTGCTCCTGACCGTGTCTTCACTTGCTTTCATATCCCCCCAGTGACAGGCAATAGTCTAGAACCGGAAGCCACACAGATCCCCTTCTCCCCACTAAGTTGCTCTTGGCCAGAGTATTTTATCACAGCAACGGAAACGGAGCGAGAATGGTCGGCCATTCCCAGTCAAAACCTGATCCCGTTACCCCTGAGGCTGTCATTGAGTACCAGGACCCTGACGTCACATGGTGGGACCTAGGATATCTAGGGTGGGACTTGTTATCCAGAAATGCTTAATGGTTTCAAAAGGTATCACCACTACGGCTGGAGAGACGGCTCCACCGTTACGAGCACCGTCCGCTCACCCGAGTTCAATTCTCAGGGCCTGCATGGGGGACTCACAACTCCTTGTACCTCCAGTTCCAGGGCATCCCACAGCTTTTGTGAGCAACGTGCATGCACACAGTACACAGACACACTCTGCACGCTGAATAAATCAAATCACCACGACAAAAACACAAAAGTGACGGAATTCCTACACAAAACTCTCGGCTCCAGGATCCCACCCGGCCTCTCTGAAGCCTGGGTTTTTTTTAGGGGAGCCCTGAACAGGCTGGAGGAGGAGGACGAGTTCTTGGCTTGAATGCCAAGGCGGACATGGAGAGACCTCGGAGAGTAGCCTGAATGTCCGCTCGGGGGACAATGAAGAGTTATGACTTTAACTTAAAAACCCATTAATGTCCCTTCCTCCCCCCCCCCACACCCCGCTTCCCCGGATGGCATTCTTGTCTCCAACCAGGGTTCAAAGGAGCTGTAGCAATGGTCATGATCAGGAGCTGCCTGAGGGGCTTGTATATCTGAGGGACAGCTCTTTGGGGACAGCAGAAGACATAGGTGGCAGTTTGTTCCTTATCACTGGAAGAGGACACTGTTGCTTGCCAGCCCAGTCCCAACCGTTCTACAAAGCAGGGGTTTGCAGGTGGCTCTGTCGGGGAGCGGCGCTGGAGAAGAAATCTCTTCCGCATTCCCACCTTTCCCTTCTTCCTCGTTTTTCCCCCCTTTAAAGGGGTTTGAGGAGATCATAGCATAGGATTTGTGTGCAATTTTGAGGATCTTATTCAGTTGTGAGCTTCTGAACAACAGGAACACAGGGGAAATGAGACAGAATTTCCTTGCTCTTGTTATCAAAGAGAAACACATTTCAATTATTTGGGGGCAAAGGATGTACCAGATCTAAGGGATTCAGAAAATTCAGTCAGGGAGGTTCTTGGATCCAGTATGCTCAGGACGGAGCCTTCATAGGGCTCAGTCTTCGGCTGACTGAATGCCAACACTGGTCTGCCAAAAGAACGCGGTGATGTGTACGCTCCCCTGTTCCTCTCAAGGAAGGAGCCCACTGAGATTCTTACAGGGGCTGCAGAATCCATGAAAAGAACATCTGCCCTGTGGAGCAGCCCTCACTCCAGCCCCGTCACCCTCTCCTCAGCATCAATGATAGTATATGCTTGTGCTTCTCAAATGTGGGCACGTGTGGAGGTCACAGCGTCCCGGCTACTCCCTGGCTTCCAGCCAGACCTGGAGATGCGGAGAGGTGGAGGGCCTGCCAGTGTTCCTCTGCTAAGACTGAGCAAGATGCCACAGAGTGAGATTTAACCCACAGCCATGTATTCCCTGACAGTAACGGAGACTGAATTCTTAGATCAAGTCTCTCAGGGTGGTGTCCCCTCGAGGCCTCATTCCTTGGCCCATGATGGCCTCTCCCGCTGGTTCTTCACACTGTCCTTTCCCTCGGCAGGTACCCCCAAACCAGCATACCATCCGGGCAGCTCTGGTTTTCCTTAATGGTATCGTTAAAGCCCTGCCTCCAGTTCCAGTCATACCCTAGGGTTCTCCAGGCTGGAGAAGTTAACACGGATTCAGTGGGAGAGAGAATTCCACCAAATGCCAAGCGTGGCTGCTGTGCTGGGCCACGTTTTGAGGGCTGCAGATTTATGCTGTTACGGTGATGCTCTAACATCTTGGACCAATTCACGGTCGTCCTTAATGACAGAACACAGAACCCAGTTTACTATCAGACGCCAAGAGACTCTACCCTCGCCTTGCCACCAACTCCTTTCATCTCCCTGTGATGTCCTCAAAGTATAGGCCAGGGGAGGGGCGGAGCCTAGGATGTCCTGAGCACACAGCTCCTGGCTTTGGGCTGCATCCGGCATGTTTGATTTGATGTCTATTTTTACTCTGGACATTTTGAAAGTAATTACTGTGAGGACCAGGCTTAGGGGGTGTTTTAAGACGTCTTTAAAGTTTTACAGTGTTTTATCTTAAAAGAAAGAGTCCGCCTGCCTTGTGAGGTCTGCAGTCTCCTGGGATGCAAGACCCACACCAAAGCAAGCAGCACCCCCTTGCTGCCTGTGGTTGGAGAGACCCAGGGAAACGGAAAGCCCGATAAAGAGGTAAATCTGGAAGCTTCCAATGACTCCCCACCTGTTACAACTGTTGGCTTGGGTCCAGGCTGGGTTTCCCAATTAAAAAATCTGAATGCAAGGCTGCAGGGACGGCTCAGTTGGTGACTTGCTTGCCTGCGGGAATGAGGACCTGAGTTCATCCCCTGAAACCCGCTTTAAAGGAGCTGGTTATGGTGGCACACACTTGTAACCCCAGGGCCGTGGGGCTGAGATAGTCCTTCCCTGTATTTCTCTGGTACTGCAGACACCCGTCATCCTGAGTTACAGGGATGGTGACAGCGCCCGATAGATGGATTTGCTGACAAAACCACAGCCCCAGCAAACACAGGCACATGTCTACTAGCTGTGTGTACTACCCGCGAGTCACCACTGGGCCCCCACTCTCTGAAGTAGGCATCATCGTTAATCCTGACTTACAGATAATGAAACTGAGTCACTAGGAGAACGAGCTTGCTCAAGGTCATGAACCAGAATTGGGGCTGAAGTTCAAGTGCTGGAAGAAGCGCTGAGACCCTAACTCATGAGGCTCCTGGGGTCTGAAGACACCTGGGAGTTACCGTCAGGTAGCCACTTGGGGACTCAACCCTGGCATTTCATAGGTGCCTGTTAGGCTGGGTTCTACTCCTATCCCAGAGGTTACCGGGGACTTCAGGGCCCTGGTACTGCCAGGGTAGGAACCTCGGCTTCATAGGGTCCAGGGTCAGCAGATGAACTAACCTGGGATCTGGGTGTGAGTTCTGTCAAGTTTCACCGGATCTGCTGGGGCTGGGGTTGCCTGTGAGTAACCAGCTGGTGTCCTCTCTGGCCTCTGACAGTAAGGCTTGCAAGAAGGTGGCTCTCCTGGAGCCCCTGTTGTACCCAAGCTAGCTGCTTAGTTTGGGGACCCCGGGACAAAGAAAAGCCAGGTGGGCATTCTGAGGAAAGCAATCAGTCGGTGTATTAAGAGAAAGCAATTGTCTGGCTTGCATGCGTGTTGTATACCTCCTTGCATGTCGCAATTCACTCGCTCTGTTCTCAACCCCCCCCCCCCAGAATGCTAACTCCCGGGGTGCAGGTGTCTCCCACTGTCGTTGGTCCTCTGCTGTATAACAAATCCCCAGCACATATATATAGTAGATATTCGAATGTCTGTTGAGTGAATGTGTGAATGCATGTATGCACGAGACACTGCACACATGCACGAGTGAATAAGTACATATACTCATGCGCACGTAATGCACGCACGAAAGAATGAACGAGTGAATGACGCCGGTATGAATGAATGAAATGGGAGGCGGAGACTGTATAGGTTCTTGGTGACGGCAGAGGCTGCACGCTCCCTTGGTGTCTACATCTGTCCTAGCTCATCTTCCCATGGAGGCTGTGGGTCAGAGCCTGAAGCACAAAAGCATTAGCAGACGGGCTCTGGGTCCTGGCTCCGACTGCCACCGCTCTGATTAGAGGAGAGAGAGCCCTGTGCTGTCTACCTGCCGAGTGAGGTCAGGAAACGGGAGCCGGAGCCCTCAAACCACACTGGAGGGTGAGGACGGAGGAGATGCAGGGGGCTTTGCACAGGGCACGTGCGTGCGCCTTGGGGTTTCTTTCCAGGAAGCAGCTGCAGCTGACGGGGCCTCATTTACATCTCAGACCCGCTGCTGGGGCTTCCGGGGAGGCTTGGGCCTTGTGAAGAGCAGTTAGGGCACAGGAATGGGGCCACTGCCAAGCGGGACTGGCTTCCCATGAATGGTGGCCCAGAAAAGGGACAATGGTAAGGAAGGGACACAGAGTAGGAGGCTGGACCCCGAGACGGGTTCTGCACCTGCTGCTGACACACTCTGGGGACCTCGGAAGTCACTGCTGGCAGGAGCAAGGATGCAGGCTGGAGGCTGCCAGCTCCCGCAAAGGGCTGGGCTGCCTGAGATATTCCTGGGAGGCAGGAATGGTGGTGGTGGGTGTGGCTTGGCCCTGCAGGTTCTCCTGGCCTCTGACTGGACACTTGACTGTGTGGATTCGTTCCTGCCTCTCTCTAGGGACACAGTATCAGTTCTACTGAACACACTATCTGAGCATCCTCCGCCCCCAGGCCTT